GTTTCCGGTCGAACTTAAACATTTCATTTGATTTTTTCGTATGTATTGCCAGCTTGCAAGAAAAAACGCTTGGAATAAATCGTTGGCATTTCTAGAGCGGTTTTTTTGGCACCACTATCGGACTTTGCGAAAAATTTCAATTTGCCATCGCATCCAGCTGAATACATGATGTATTGGCTGAGGTCTGAATAAATATGTGGTCTATGCGGCTTAAACTTCCGCTCGAATAATAAATTGTGCTCCCTTGGCAATGATTCAAAATTCCTACTTGTTGATTGTCGAGTCACCAGTTGAACCTGATGAAAATGCACTTTTTTCTTGTTAAACGATTTGCGCGGAAAAGTCCAACTGCAACCGCATTATTGTCCATATTGACCCAATTTAATTAAAACTGAGCTGCAGTCACTGTTGATGGACTGTTCCAACATCACAATATTTAGACAGGGATAAGATCCGGCGCTTGTAACGAGTTTATGCTGTAGGTTTGTTTGTTTTAGCGAGGTACGAGTTGCCCCAATAATCGCTTCTAAGATAATGTTTTTGTAAACTTCCGTGTCGGCAGATGGGCACCGTTCGAGGAAATATCGGAGAATTATCCTAAGAACACCAAACATTTGAGCACCTTACGAGTGTATAAATGGAAATTAACTTTCATTGGGTTGGTCGCGCTTATTCTCCACGCTTTGGCTGATTTTCTTTGGGAATATTCCATTAATAATAATAAAGTCCTGGGGGATAAAGTGCAGGACCACCGACATGAAATATTATTTTCCTGGACGTGATATATCTTTGTTTGCCGTTATAAATAATGCAATCGAATTCGCTGCTCAACCTGTCTGGGAAAAAGTTATTCGAGTGAAAATACCCAGTTCTACAAGGGCGTTTTCACCTATTTACTCAATTAAATTGCCTATAAGCAAACGCTGCAAAATTTCAGAAGAGAACTGAAATAACAAATGAATTGCCCCTGCTACACATCGGTATAAACACGTTTCCAAACTATTATCTAGCGATAAAACTGTCGGCTCTAATTAGAATAGAAAATAAACAGCGAACTTTTTCGCTGGCACTCGACGCTGTTTTTGCAAAGAACAATTAATTGGGATGACGAAACTAAAAACACATCGGCTAATTAATTTTTAGTTCGAAATTGCCGATAAGAATTTTAATTAGCTCGGGCTATTATTACTTTTTAATTGACCTTGGTTGTTCCGAACAGTATCGATGAGGTGTGATCAGAAATCGCATTCAATGAGGTTGGCAGAGAGCGGGAAAAAAATCATTGGCTCCATACGAAACTCACATCGCTACTCTGAAGTGGCTGAGGATGGAGCTGTTTTACACCGCAAAAACAGAATAGAGGCATAGAGGAAGATAAGTTGAGGATTTTTATGAAATTTGGCACCGTAATAGAGCGAAACACTGTCTTTTCAATGCGGTTTGTTGCAGCTTTACGGGTCGTCTGGCTGAGGATTTACGCAATTTTAAGTGCAGCCATGTTTTCCAGAACCACTGTGACCTGATGGGGCACTAAATTGAAAAATTCGCCACAACTTAAGCAATTTGGGTATTTTGATGAAATTTGGCAACAGAATCTGGCGAAATATTCTCCTTCGAATGCTGTTTGTTGCAGCGTTGCKTGCTGTCCCGTCGAGGATTTACGAAATTTTAAGTCCAGTCATGTTTCCCAGAATCAGYCYSATCTCATGGGGCACTAAATTGAAAAATTTGCCACAACTTGGAAAAGTTGAGGATTTTSATGAAATTTGGCACCGTCATCGAGCAAAATATCCTCTTCASAATGATRTTTGGTCCAGCTTTAGCTGGTGTCTAGTTGGGGAGTTACGAATTTTTATGTCCYGCCATGTTTCCAGAACCAGTCTRGTTGCGAACTAAATTTCAAAATTCGCCACAGCTTGGGCAATTTGCAGATTTTTACGAAACTTGCCAACCAGGTAGAGCAAACTATTACCTTTCAACTGCTGTTTAGTGCAGCTTTACGCGACTTGCGATTGGCAAGTTACAAAGCGTGAAGTCCAGCAATGTTTCCCAGAACCAGTCCGATCGGGAAAAAACTGTTTTCAGCTGAATTTGAGCTCAGCAAACATTTTCCGCAATAATTATAAGCATAGTTGTTCCCGAACATGTGAAAAAGCACACAAATGTGTTTGCTCAGTTTCAGATTTCACTCAACAGCTCGGACAAATGTACGAACAGCACGCTGAGGAAATGCAGATGTTGGTCGCTAACTTTCGGAAGCGAAACAACGAACTGCGCAAAGAACGGTAAGTTTTCCCAAACGTTATGAAGCCATTTCAGATCAAGTGCTCGAAAAACAAAAAACAAAATTTCGTTTGTCATTTTCATCTAGGAGTAATTTAAACGAAAAGGCGCGGGCCAACGGGGAACCAGCCATCTTCCTCTGATGGTTTCTTTGAATAGGTGCAAAAGTATATCCAGAAAAATCGAACGTAAATTTTCTTGTAATTGAGTGGCAGTGGCGTGCTGACGCTCTATAAAAAAGTCAGTTACGTTTCAATGAAACGCTTTCATCCTGGAAAAAAACAAGGATTAAAAAAATGTCGCTTTAGAGGTGGCCAAAAAATGTGAAAAACCCACCTGCACCATCGGGATTTTACCTGAAAACTGGGCAAAATCCACTGGAGTGCGCCTATGGAATATATCGTTTCCTTTTCCGCATTTTTCCTGGAGAACTCTTCTTATCTGTGGCATATTTTTCTTTTTCAGGCCGGCGTGTCCCAGCTCATTATTTCATACCTGGGAGGCTCTACTTCAGGAAGTCGAGATCGATTCTCAGGTAATAATTTTATCAAGGCTAAGATTAGAGAGATTGCGAATTGCATAAAAATCTAAATTAACGTTTACAGCATTTTTGCCGTTGTCGCAATGATGTGCGACTGTGAGATAAAACACAAACCTTTATCTAAAAAACTGCACTTATTATTTTATATTCTTTACATGTTCCCGCTCTGTGGCTTTTGCCCTTTCATTTTGTTCTCGATCAATTAAGTGTTTTGCAATATGCTCTTAACAAAAATTCTATAGGCAATTGCAAATTTTAATATTGGTCACAACAACAAAATACAGTTAATAGTTTTACATTGATAGAAGAGTATTTTTGTTCATCCACAGATTATTCTATTGTGTAGAAACACAGTTAGGTAAAGCAATTTGCATTGATACATTACTTTCATTTTACTTTTGTTGCTTTCCTTCGATCCAAAAAAACATGCTTATCGCAAAATATAAATCAACCAAAATCAAACTGGTAAAAAGAAAAAAATATGGATAATAGTTTTACATTAATAGACGAATAATTAGGTTCAGACAACCTTACTTGTCTCTTATGCGAAAATTGTTCGTCTGTGGTTTTCTCACGTGATCCCTAGCGTCTTCAATGCTTCAAGTCCAGAACGGCGACATCACCTGTATGTATAGAACACGAAATAATAAAATAATCAAATGTATTTAATTTAAACACCAACATACCTTTCCATGTTTGCGGGGTTTTAAGCCATAATTATACCGTAATTTCCGTCTTGAAGACACATCATAACACTGAGGCACAAGCACGGTTTT